TCAAGTAATTTTTACAGATATATACCTGGAAAAAAATTAGATAAACATCTGGCTGTCAGTCAAGCATTCAACAATTTAAATAAACACCTACTTCCATCTTGTTAAAAAATTTGTTTCTGAGATTTTAAACTAAAAGTAATATTTGTTTCAAATCAGACAAAATGACAAAAAAAAAAAAAAAAAAAAGAAAAAAAAAAAAAAAAAGTAAAAAAGGTGAAAAAAAAAAAGGTGAAAAGTAAAAAAAAGGTGAAAAAGTAAAAAAAAGGTGAAAAGTAAAAAAGGTGAAAAGTAAAAAAAAAAATGAAAAGTAAAAAAAAATTGAAAAAGTAAAAAAGGTGAAAAGTAAAAAAAGGTGAAAAGTAAAAAAAGGTGAAAAGTAAAAAAAGGTGAAAAGTAAAAAAAGGTGAAAAGTAAAAAAAGGTGAAAAGTAAAAAAAGGTGAAAAGTAAAAAAAGGTGAAAAGTAAAAAAAGGAAAAGAAAAAAAAGTGAAAAAAAGTAAAAAAAAAAAAAAAAAAAAGGTGAAAAAAAAAAGGTGAAAAAAAAAAAGGTGAAAAAAAGGAAAAAAAAAAGGTGAAAAAAAAAAAAAGTGAAAAAAGTGAAAAAAAGGAAAAAAAAAAAAAAAAAAAAAAAAAAAGGTGAAAAAAGGAAAAAAAAAAAAAAAAGTGAAAAAAGAAAAAAAGAAAAAAAGTGAAAAAAAAAAAAAGGTGAAAAAAGGAAAAAAAAAAAAAGAAAAAAAAGAAAAAGGTGAAAAAAAAAGAAAAAGGTGAAAAAAGTGAAAAAAAAGAAAAAGGTGAAAAAAGTGAAAAAAAAAAAAAAGGTGAAAAAAGTGAAAAAAAAAAAAAAGGTGAAAAAAGTGAAAAAAGTGAAAAGAAAAAAAAAAAAAAAAAAAAGAAAAAGTGAAAAAAAAAAAAAAGAAAAAAGTGAAAAAAAAAAAAAAAAAAGGTGAAAAAGTGAAAAAAAAAAAAAAAGGTGAAAAAAAGGAAAAAAAAAAAAAAAAGGTGAAAAAAGTGAAAAAAAAAAAAAAAGTGAAAAGTAAAAAAAAAAAAAAAATGAAAAAAAAGAAAAAAAGTGAAAAAAAGTAAAAAAGAAAAAAAAAAAGTGAAAAAAAAAAAAAGTGAAAAAAAAAAAGTGAAAAGGACAAACAAAAAAAAGGCACAAAAAAGGGGGACAAACAAAAAAAGAGGCACAAAAAAGTGGGACAAACAAAAAAAGAGGCACAAAAAAGTGGGACAAACAAAAAAAGAGGCACAAAAAAGTGGGACAAACAAAAAAAGAGGCAAAAAAAAAAAGGGGACAAACAAAAAAAAAAGAGGCACAAAAAAGGGGGACAAACAAAAAAGAGGCACAAAAAAAAGGACAAACAAAAAAGAGGCACAAAAAAGGGGGAACAAAAAAAAAAGGGGACAAACAAAAAAGGGGACAAACAAAAAGGGACAAACAAAAAAGGGGGACAAACAAAAAAGGGGGACAAACAAAAAAGAGGAAAAGTGACAAACAAAAAAGAGGAAAAGTGACAAACAAAAAAGAGGAAAAGTGACAAACAAAAAAGAGGAAAAGTGACAAACAAAAAAGAGGAAAAGTGACAAACAAAAAAGAGGAAAAGTGACAAACAAAAAAGAGGAAAAGTGACAAACAAAAAAGAGGAAAACAAGGAAATAAAAAGGGAAAAAAGAAAAGAAAAAGCAAATAAAATAAATAAAAAAAGTAATATAGAGAAAAATGATTCATGGAGTAAGATTGAAGAATGAATAGTGGATTTAAAGATTAGATTAAAGCCCTGTTTAAGTAGCTTAGCTTTTAAATCACCACATCGAAGTATCCAATGATTTTCTTAGTGTAGCTTAGATGTAGCACATGGCTGAAAATGTGGAGCACCCCACAGAGGACAGACATCTCCACCTTACTACATAATACATATTTTTAAATTTTTATAATATCTGTAACGATCAGTTTTAATCGTGCAATCTCCCTATCACTAGTGATGCCAGAAGGTAGATTTCTTTTTTGTATAACATTCACATGTTGTATACGTAACTGGCAGGTGAAACTATTAAAGAATGAAGTGTAATAGTAACAATTAAAAAAAGAAAATTGGAAAAAAAATCACATGTGAAAACCTAATAATAGTAAGAACTTAGCAAAATATGGTGACATTTTTATCAACATTGGTAAAAAGTATTAATGTAAGTTTCTACTGGACATTGAATTGTGGATCAATTTTCTTCTGTTATTAATCAATAAACTTATCAACTATTTTAGACTTATGACATTAAATTAATAACTGAAAAAATACATTAAAAGATTTATTGTTACCTACATTGATTTTACAAGTTTGTTTAGTAGCATATTAACTCCTTCTAGGTCATTTTCTTGGGAGCATTAATAATTTCTTTTATAAAAATGTATTGCTGGAAATTTAACCCCCCCAAGTATTTTGCTGATAATTTTTAATTTAATTTTTTGTTTTCTTTTCTTACAAAAATGTATTACTGGTATTTTTTTTTTAAATATATTACTGGTAATTTTTAATTTAATTTTAACCCCAACAAAAATGTATTGCTGGTATTTTTACTATAAAAATGTATTTTCATACTTTCATAGTGTTTTGACCTCAATTTGAGGGTTAACTATTTGTCCATAGTTGGAACTCTAGATACTATCACTGCATGTCAAGGTGGACTAACACCAATTAAGAGGAGGTTTCACACTCCTCAAAACATAGTATGGACTTGGTAAGCTGATATAAAAAGCATAGATAGTCAAGTTAGTAATATGGATTTTAATAGCATTCAAAAGTACTTTGGTATCTTTTTTTTTCTAAGTAGGATTCGCCATTTTGAACTAAAAAGCCTGTAGAAAGTGAGGTTTGAATAGAAGTTTGTTTCGCAAGACGTTGGCAGGATAAAAGATAAAAGACAGAGGTTATTAGGGGCAAAAGAAACTTGGGGGGGGGGGAATGAGGCAGATGGTAGCTTCAAGAATTAACTTGTGGAGAAGCAAACCAAGCTTTATAAAATGAGAAATGTTGAAGCAATGTCATGAAATGAAATCCAGATGGAAGTAAAAGCTGAACAAAGATTTTTTGGGGAATAGAAAAATCAGGGATCAGTATTGCCATGAATTATACCTGTTTGATGGATTAGCAGAAAAGTCTTAATAAAAACAGGCTTAGCCATGGAAAACTGAAAATTATAATTTAACCAGATAATGTTAATTACCTGACGGAAGTATGAACTGACTCTAAGAGGAATGGTAAGAGCCTTTCAAACCAATAGGAACATGAGAACCTGGAGTGGTGGTTAGAAGAAGTTAAATTTGGAGAAGATGGGGAAAAATGAATTTTTTTTTTTTAAAAGGAAAAAAAGAAAAAAAAAAAAAAATCAAACTGGGATACTTCAATAAACAGGCTGGTCACTGCTTAAAATCAATTGATCCATTCAGAAAAAAAAAATAATAGAAAAAGAATTTTGGAAGGAATAATTTTTGTATATTAGCATTTTTTAGACTTTCATTAAGCAGCAACATTTATTGGAATAAAAAAAAAAAAAAATCTTGATGCTTTTGATTTAGAACGGAGTCCTGTTCATAAAATATCCATACATTGTCAAATCAATCTTAGACTTTTACAGAGTTATATGCATTTAAATTTTTTTTTTTTTTTTTACAAATGCTGTGCCTTGAAAACGTACTTACATTATTGATACCTGCATATAATTTTTTCTTTTTAGACTTAATTTATGCAAATCTTTGTTAATTAAGAATGTGGCACTAATTTAAAAGTGTATATACATCTGTTTGTTTCTTTAATGACAAAATTTTTGTAAAAATGCGAAGAAAAAAAAAAAAAACTATTTCATCAAACAGTTGATTGTTAAAACTTTCTTAAAATTGAACATAAAATGTATATATCTGTTTAAAAGAAATTTTTTTTTTTTTTGATATCTCAATCAGATATCAAACACATAGGCACAGGTACAGTTCCAAACTTGGAATTTCTTAAAGAAACAGCTAATTTCTGATAATTCCATAAAAAGTGAGTGACTGATTTTATACTGTATCAAAATTATATACAGGACCCTCCATATAAAATGATGGAGAAAAAAAACAAAAAAAAAAACATCAATATTTTTCAATTCTGACAAAGGTTGCTGTTTAATAAAGGTCTAAATGAATGCTAATTAATATAAATGATTACCAATTAAATTTTTCCCTATTTTTCACTAGCTGACCAGTTTATAGAAATAGTGCTGTAGGTGGATTCTGGCCTTTGAGGTCATTGGGAAGCAGTTATAGTCCAGTTGTCAGGAAAGACACTGCTAGTTAATGTCATCCCCCACCCATTGCTACCCTGTCATTACCCTTTGTGAAAGAGTTGAGGAACTGAAGAAATGTTGAGCTTAGAAAGTCTCCATTTTGCAGCAGGATGATCAAGTGGAGGTTTTGGAGACCATCTTCAAAGTTACTTGATTGGGGACTTTTGTTCAGATCAACAATTCAATCTAAAGTATTGCTGTTGATTTGGCATTCAAACATTGGCAGCTATTTACCAGAGATGCTAACATTTTGAAATTTTTTTTCAAAACTATTTTATGGAATTATTTTGTATAAATGATAGTGGCAAGACTAAAAATGTTTAGAAAAGAAAAGTTTTTTTGGCAAACAAAAAAACACAGCATTTAAATATGAAAGAAAAGCAGGAAGAAAGCAGAAAAACAGGTTACTGTTATGTTCACCTTCCAGAGGTCAATTTCGAAATCTGATTTCAAACACCAATTTTGTAATAGCCAACTAAAGACAATAAACCTGAGTTGATTAATAGCTTCAACCAAAGTCTTAACATTGTTCTTACATTAAAAGTATCACCGCAAATAAACTCGGCATTGGTGCCTGCAGATGAAAATGTATCAGAAAATGCCAAGCATAAGATAACCTGTGGTCAGCATAAGATAACCTGTGGTCAGCATAAGATAACCTGTGGTCAGCATAAGATAACCTGTGGT